AACATTTCACCAAAGTCTAGTAAACAAACAGACTAAAATAAATACCCATATTTGCTTAACATTTATTCGGAACCAAAAAGTTACAGAACAAATATAGCGTTTAATTATGAGAACATTTAATTCATACAATGTTTTTCTTTTTCTATCACTTAAGTACCTTATATTAAGTACCTTATAACCTTTCTCAAGAGTCAATTCTCTCTATTACATTTGTGAAAAGAGCCAAACCTAACTGCTATTTCAAAGAACCGCTTGTGTTTGATTATCCTACTATTCGTATACGAGTTTCTGTAAGAATTTTACCGCACCACATTTACAAAAAAGTTCTGTTTTATAACATAAAGAAATAAAAAAAATATTAAGCCAAATAAGGCACTCAGGCAGAGCATTTTCATTTTATAAATTGATTCATAAATTACGGAGTTATAACAAAGAATAGGAGAGTGGTAATAAATGTAAAAGAATAAAATTAAGCGAATTTAGAATTTCCTCCTATACTGAAGTCATATAAAGATAGCTCAAGTTTAAAATTTAAATACACCTAACGCTACTGACCTAAAAAAAGATTGAAAACATATATTCAGGGAGATAAGAACTGCAATATCACAAGCTATGATTTCACTTTGCTATCGCCATCATTATATCATAAAGAGATAAGATACAATAAACTAGAGATAATAATGTTTTGCCATTCTTTGCGTGGTTTTTATGGTATGGCAAACGAGCAACCTGTAACTCAAAAGTGACAACTGCGTTGCCTCCCTTTCAGTCCCTGCCCCTAGAATTAGTGGAAGGGAAGGGTTTGGGCGGGGGTAGTTCACTAACTCGGTGAAAGCAACGAAAGAATTGATTAACGCCGGTTTTCTGTGAGGCCGTTTCTGTAAGGTTACTGATGTTGCGACCATGACCGTGAACTGTGACCACAACCAGTGCATCCTAGTCGAAACGTTTATACTTAATACCTTTCGCAGCGGCGTTAATTTCCGTAATATAATTATTAATTTTATGACTATCTTTAATATTTGTTAACGTGTAAGGGCCAGCGCAGTCCGAGAGGACCGCAGCGGAGAAGACTTTTTAGACATTCGAAAAACTTACTAAAATAATAAAATAAATAAAACATACATGTACGAACATGGCAAAATATGCTCGCGCGGCCTCGGGCCATGTGTATGCACTTTATAGCAATAGCTTTAAGATTTATTTTCCTAGTGTCTTAAAAAAATCCCTGCCTTTCGTCTCTCGTCTCTTGCGCAGGCCCTAATAATTTTCCTCTCTTTTTCTGTAGTATGTCTCAGTGCTTTCGTTTAAAGGGACGAAATGACAAATAACATACTGGCACACATCAAAACAATTTTGTGGTATATTTAATAATGCCATAGAATCTATCTGTGGATTGCAAAAGAGTGGCCATGAGTTTGTTTGCCTCATCTTCTCATAAGGCTCAACCCCTTTTAAACGGGTGGTTGTAGATCGGCACGGGCATATCATAGATTTTATATGGGTTTGATTTTTGTTAAATTTATTTGCTTACTATTTGACAAAAGACAGAGATTGTTGCTTTTGTGTGTGTTGATCTATGTCTTTAGAGTCTACATTAAAGACGATTTCAAACATTTTTTAAATTTTTATGAAAAAAAGAGAGTTTGAGTTTGAGTTTTAAAATTTGTAACAGGAAGCCGCGGAAGCGCGCTATTTTATTCGACCAATGAGCGCTTGTCCGTGTGGTGACGAATTAAGAATACAGAGTGTCACAACCCTAAAGTGGGTGTTTTAAGAGCTAAAGCAGCAAACTACGCAGTACAACAACACTGCAAAGAGAAGAAAAACTTAAAACAAACCCTATCCAAAACTGTCCGGTAAGCGTAGTGTAGTAAACCAAAACCTCCTTTCTAAGGAGAGGCCTATGTCTATATTTAGGGCTGATGATGATGAGGATGATGGATTAGCGCTCGCTGTACTATAGTTGACCGTCAGATGGTGTGTGAGATGTAAGTTGTTACACACCATATGCGACTATTGTAAGGTTCCGTAGTGTTATTATTTTCTATCCTACTCTATATATTACTAGCTGATCAACACTCTGTCTGCGTCTCTTAAAAATAATCATTTTTTCCCGTTTTTGCAACATTTTTCTTTGATACTCGGTAATAGCGTGATTAAGAATACGGATTAAGAATACGGAATGTCACTACCCAATTCATCCCGTGGGTGTTGTAAGAACCGACTAAGGGCGCAAAACAACGCAGGACACCAGCACTACAAAAAGACGGAAAACTTGACACAAACCCTATACCAACCCGCCTGGCCAGCGTGGTATAGTAGGCCAAAACCTTCTTTCTAAGAAGGGGCCTATGTCCAGTAGTGGACTATTAAAGGCTGTTGATGATGTGCATAGCGTGATGTTAATTATGCTATAGCCTTCCTCGATAAATTAATTACCCAACACTAAAAAAAAAATCCAATTTGAACCAGTAGTTCCTGAAATTAGCACGTTCAACACAGGCGTCATGTAGTCATCGCAAGCTGTGTGTGGGTTCTCTCTCATATAATTGAGTTAGTATATATTTTTATCTGCCTCTGTCCTTTTCTTCTTTGCAAATCATTAATAATAGTATTCATTAATGGAATGTATTTCTGAACTTTAGACAACAATAACGATCGATAGTTATTCTTTAAAAAATAAGATAATAGCCGTTCCCTTTCTGTGAAAAAGAAACGAATAATTCCATTTTTTAAGATCTAAAGTTCTTTCTATTATTTGCCAGTTTCAATATTTAAAAAAAATATAAGTCTAGTATCTCAAAATGAATTAAATATAAGATTATTGAATTGTTTTTCTTCCCACACCGAAGATGTCTCAGTTTAGTTGACTATCCTGGCAATTTTTCTAACTCAGTCTTAATTAAATGAACATATTGTGGCGATAAAACCTTTAAATATTAGTCAACGCTCTCCAGGGCCTCAATTCTGCTATTTTATGTTCACGCCAAGCCACTTTCATACCACTGACACGCTATTGAGATGTAAAAAACGTAATATATTTTCAAATTATAAGGAAATGATTTATTTATTTTGCCAAATATGGCAATATTTTTGATATCACCACTGATGAGCCACTGCCATTCCATCGCCACTGTAAAGACATTGAGTTAGTGCAGACTACCGATATTTATACCGATGCCAATGGCCACTCGATGGCATCTCAATAGCGTGTCAGTGGTATGACAGTGGCTTGGCGTGAACATAAAATAGCAGAATTGAGGCCCTTATTTAATGTCATTCTCAAACTTTTAATATCCAGAGTCTTAAGTCCATGATATTATCTTGCATCTATTCCAGCAGATTATCTTGTATCATCTAGCTAACAGATTTATAGTCGTCTCCGATTATCTTGAAGAACAGAAAAACAAACACGCAAACTAAACTTATTAATAATTTATTATTTGCGAGATTTCATTGTAACCTAAATCTAAAATTGTAGTTTTGTGTCCTGCTTTGCTAAGAAGATAAACGGATTTTTTATCTGATCGGATCATTTATTTGATCTATCGGACGGATGATTTAGTTCATAGAAGTTCACAGATAGTATTACTTAATCAGGGGCTGGTAGTAGTAGCTAGACGACTAGAGAATATCCACAAAATGAGTATGAATGATACTATACATACGATACAATTAAAACTAAAATAATGTTGCTAGAATTTAATATTTATTCTTTTCATTTCCGTTTTTGTATGCTTTCGTATTTACCGTCGGACCTTACTATAGAGATCGGTGGTAATTTTTCAGCCGATTGAGCAACTCCTCAAATTTGCTCCAAAAAATATTCAAGACAATTATCCTTTGTCTTGTTCTGTAAACGTGAAACTTTTTGTTTTAAATAACAGACCCGCCTTGACTCCGCTATGATGTGATACATTTTTTTTTTAATTCTTCAAATCTAGCATTCGTCAGCCATTTAAATCTGACTAAAATTTTTGAATTCAGAACACGAGTTGTCAACGCATTTAAATTTCTGAACACTTAAGTATGTCTGTAGGCGTTAGAGTGTAAATACAGATACAATTATATCATTAAAGTCATTTAAACTTACTTGAACATGAAAATATTTTTACGAGTATGTCTTGTTTTATTGTTGAACTCTTTTGTTTTTATGTTGTTTGTTATGTTTTTAGTTTAGTTCGTGATGCTTGATAGTCTTTCCCGATGTTCATTGTTGAAAAGGAAAGTTTTATTTGTCTATTTTTCTTGTTTTAATTTCATATTGCATCTTTGATTTTGTGTAGTTCTATATTCCGTCTGTTTAAGTTTTTTTTATGTGGTATTTTTTTTGTAAAAGTGCGTCAATATGGTCGCTTTAGACTTTTTTTGGCTTTATGTAATACCTTTTATCTTTAAAACCTATAAACAGATTGGCTTCATGATAAAACGCCGTAATTTCTCAAGATTGTGTGTCTATTCTATCATCTAGTATAGATTTACAAAATAAATCTTGCATAACTATAAAGTTATTAAATATTCTATATTAAAACCATTTATCGATATAAAAATCTCTTTAATACAGTCCCAATTCAGTTAAAGAAAAAGTAAAATAAAAAATAGGCTTTCATTTATTTTCCAATTAAAAAAATGGAAATAAGAAAGTACAATATTAAAAGTACTATAGCAAAATTATTTAAAAAGAGAGAATGAGATAATTATAAACATAAGTAATTTTCAAAATACCGCATAACATCAACCGTAGTTATAACAAAATTGTCATAATGCGTAAAATTTGTCACTTTTCAAACAATTATTACTTGACTGTCTATGAGTTATCCCTATTATATAACTAATGGTTCTTATTTAACCCATTATGAAAACTATTTTGTATATATTAACAGGTCTTTAAAGAAGAACATTAAACTTAAAACAATAGATAACTATTTGTTTTCAAACGCATTTTGTTTTTACCGGCAGAGCGTCGCCGCCGGCCGGCATTTTTGAGACTTGGTAAGCTATGACATAATAGTTCTAGGTTTTTCTGCCTCTGACTTTCTTCTAGTTTCCTCTTCTTCTTCCCTAGCTATAATAAGAAACTACTACAATCGTAGATTATATAAATATCTCAAATCTTCTACATTTAAATATCGGGAATCGTTGAAACTTATTTATTCCAAGCAAACACATGTACGAAAATAAAAAACATTTTCGTACTAGTGATTAACTGCGAAAGGAAAAAACAGTATGGTCACAAATATTTTGATTTATTAAATAAAAATATCGGAAAATATAGTTACACGTGCTTTTCCAAAGCCTGTAAACTCCATTATACCGACAGCAATAAGTAAAAGTATTACGTAATATAAATACACTGAATCCTGACAGCATTTGCCGCAGTGTATTAATTAAATTAATTATTCCATAATAGCTTTTAAACTAGTAGTTAGTGACGTAACGGGAAAAATTCCGCGGTCAATAAAATGATTAATAAGTAATAACTTACAACACATACATTCTATCTTTCCCTTTCAACATATTCTACTCAATATTATGTATTTTTCACTAACAAAATACACTATTTTACGATCCCAAACACGTTATAACGTAAACACTCTGAAAACATCGGAACTACAATTTTTTATCTAAAAGAATCAATGGAGAAAGTGCGTATTGTAATAATAAAATAAACAGCGTTTCTAATTTCACAATCGACGAGCATCGAACCGCCAAAGAATTTCATTTTCTTCCCATTTGACAGCTGTCACAGTGACAGTTCCGAAATTTTCCCGAGCTAGCCGTCAGTGTCGAGAAAACTTACCTTTAACAAGCCGCTGCAGTATAATCTCCTTGTGCTCATGAGTGTGGGGTTCCCCGATCACCGCGAGTAAATAACATCCCGTTAAAGGGCTCGGTGGGGGCACGGAGGCCGATACCTCCGTCCCCAAAGATAAGGACCTATCCTCGTCGTGGTCCATCGCCGACGGCGGCGCCGGCGCGACTGCCGACGGTTCGCCCAGGGCTAGCGTATGAGTCGACCGCTCGGCACGAGAACTCCGATCGGAATGGATTGGAACGGACGGTGTGGTAGACACTTGCGCGCGCAAAGTTTCAGCATCGACCGATGGACGTGCGCGGCACGCAGACGCGTCGGCGACTGGACTCAACCCCAAAACCAGTCTTTTCTTTCCAACTTAGCATATATTTTATGGGAAAGATAGGGATGGAATATGTCGTAGGGCGTATACAGAAGCCACGGTAGGCTTTTCAGCGCACACGTGATCTGCATTGCGTCTAAACAACCCGGCTGAATAACCTCGGACCGGTGCCTCAGCTGTTCAGAGAATGCCATGGTTGTTACAATCAATAATGATATAATCAGTATGACTTGAAATTACGCCGCATTCATACTTATGTTCAAAGTAAACACTATAAATAACTGATCGAGGTTTCGTCCTTTGAACGTTCCGTCCATTAAGTACATCAATGCACTCACTAATTAGTCGCGCTAACATTTATCACTTTCTTACATCCACTTTAATAATTAGCGAAAGTGTTTTTTTTGTTTCAACTTTACCTTCATTTTTTATTATTAAATTATATATTCTCGTCTTAGTTTGTTATTATATACAACTAGAATATTATAAAATATAATTAGTACAATAGGTCTTAAACAAATTATAAGTACATTTAACATTCGATTTAAAGGGTAGACAACATAAAACCGTATAGGAAATTGATGTATCTGAACTTTGTAAGAATTTTGGAATTAAATATTTCAGTATTGGTGATAAGATATTTTTATCTTCTGTTTTCTTAAACGATAAGTTTGTATCATGGCATGGCTTTCTGGTTTTAAAAAGACGGAATACTTAATATTTTCTCGATTCAAGAATTGACAAAATTTATATGCCTTGTTATTAATAAGTTATCAATAGTCATCGGCGTTTAATAATCAGTTTAGCATATTGAAAAATACTGTTACATAGATTGTTTCCTTATTTTAAGCGACTTCAAATGATTAGTTTTTCAAATTGATTGTTCTGTCTTAACCTATGATCTCAGGTGAACCGATTTTATTAAATACATTTTATTTTTGAGATCCTGCAATATCTGTGTTCTTAGAAATAGAAGTCGGAAGCTTGAAAATAGCAGAAGTGTTTTTATACTGATAGGAGTTGTACATGATCATTTTTGAAAGAGTTGGCTCTTACGACATACACACGGGATGAATAGAGGTGGTGACATTCCGTATTCTTAATCAGTCACCGCACGGATAACACACTGCTGGCAAATTAGAGTATTTTTAAATAAATTGGAAAAACGTTTTACGTTACTTTTAGATACTGTTTGGCAAGTAAATTTTACCTTTTGCCGTCTGGGTTTGGTACAGGGTTTGTTTCAAGTTTTCCTTCTCTTTGTAGTGCTGTTGTCTTGCATAGTTTCAGTTGTATCTCAATATGTTGTTTATTCTACAATGTTTTCGTTCCTGAGTTTGAAAGACTAGCACTTTCCCGGGGTTCTACCTGTGTTTTTATCCGTAGTACCGGTATATACTGTGTTTTATTTTAAACACAGTATATTGGAAATGAATTTTCTGTTTGGGCATTTAGAATATGTTTTAATAGTAATTCGAGGAGAAGTAAAATCTAAGATCTTAAAAAAACATTAAAAAAAACTGACCTAAAGGAAAAAATAGACTTACACAGCCGAAGCCGCAGACAACCCTAGTATTTATTTAAACCGAATGTGTCTATGTTTGAATTTATAGCTTTTTATGAGTAATTTAAATTTTATGAGTTAAGAAAATGTTCAAACGAGATTAGTCGTATACTGCAATTAACATTTTAATAATGTTTATGATCACTATTTAAATAGTATTCAATGTATTTAATCTCTATGTTTGTTATTTGTTTTTAATCTATTTTGCTATTGTCTAATACAATTGATTGCTAGCATCAACGCAGTACTTTCACTATCAACGCATAGAAACAGCGTTCTGGTTTTATTGCCTACATATTGAGAGAAGTAGTTTGTGTCTAATTAGGCGAGAAATATTTTTTATTTTTTGTTTTTAAACAATTAGACGGTTTACATTGTGTTCAAATATAATTTATACAATTATTTTCTTCAGGAATTACATAAATCTGTACAAATATATAAAATTGGAGTGTCTGTTTGTGATGTCAAAATAGTAAGTTTTTTATAAGTATTATGCACGATACGTATGCCCAAAAACCAGTTTAAATATTTTTTATCTATTTGTGTATCAAAACGGCTATACCGATTTTGATAATATTTTACTACCAGGTAGCTGTCTTTATAAGGAGTAATTTAGGCGCGAAAAACAGGAGCGCATATAATTTTAAAATCTTACGTGTATATTTAGGGCTTGGGAGTGACAGGTAAGGCCATCTTTTTTTTAAATTGGGACTAATCCCACCCACACGCCCACCACTGTAACTCCTGTACACCAGGATCCACAGCAGTGACCCACGAACACACCGAGTTATGACACTCGGGAAGTCCCAGGAAGAAATTAAACTGTCTTGGAACCCGCAACGAAATTAATCAGAAGAAAATTGGAGGAGTTGGAAATACAGTAAATCCACTTCCCTCCTTAGCAAAGCGGGAGACAAAATGAAGTAAAAATGGGCATACACCCTTTTAAACAGGGAAGCACCACGGCCACAAATATTACGGGTCCTACGTAAGCTATGTTTGATTTCTATAATATGTATGGCAGAATCGCCTAAACGCACGGAAATTCACCCTAGTTGACACAAGATCCCCATAGTATACCGCCCCAGATGTCACCTGCAAGCTATTCAGCATTATATTACGTTCATTATACCAAAGACTACATTCCCAGAGGATATGATGAGCAGACTGTTCATAGTGAGAGTTAGGTGTTGAGCATTGACACAGTGGTGACTCGACTAATTTAAATGAATAAAGCTTGCTCTTAAAGTTACCATGACCCGTAAGAAATTGAGCGACACAGTGATCCACCTCAAGCCATATCCTCGACAACCGTTCGCGAACAGATGGAAAGAATTGGTAAAGATGGCGCCCCTTGGATGATTCATCCCAGCGTTGTTGCCATTCGTCTATGAGGTCGTTATAGACATCGGGCTGCTGTTGAAGCAATCTTGTAATTTTACCGCGATCCCGCGCGCCTAAAAAATCGCATTCCATGTTTTGTTGTCTTGAATAGTACATGGCTGCACGTCTCTGCACCTCGAGATCGACCGGAAGCACACCCGCCAACACCGGCAAAGCCTCAGTGCTAACCGTCCTATATGCCTTACACAAGAATATCAGTGCAAGTCGTTGGCCTTGTAACAGTTTGCGACGGACAGCGCCTACGGTCGCCCTATCGGCCCATACAGGTGCACCATAGCACATAGAACCTAAATAAGTAGCTCCGTATATGATCTTTAATGTATTAAATGATAGACCCCATGTCGCAGTTGATATCCTTGTCAATGCACAGAAACTCTTTTTAGACTTTTCATTAACTATTTTAATATGTTCGATAAATGAAAAGTTTCTTTCTAAAACTAATCCTAGATAACACACTGTGGTTTTATTTTTTACAGTAACATTGTTAAATCTAATGCTCGGCGGTGATTTGAGGTTACCTTTTAAAAGTAGCTGGAAGGTTTTGTTGGGTGCAAAAGTTAAGCGATTACGTTCACCCCATTGAGATATCAAGTTCAAACATCTATTGGCTAATCTCTCAAGCCCCGCCCTAGTATCAGATTCCACCAGTAATAAGCCGTCATCAGCATACGCGTTCAGAGTACATCCGGATGGTATTGGTATCGCAAGAAAATCGTCGAAGCCGATATTCCACAAGTATGGACCTAGCACCGATCCCTGAGGACATCCCATTGTAAGCGCCTTCGACACAGAATGATGACCAAGTCTTAGTTTAGTTGTACCTTGTGAAAAGTACGAAGAGATAAGGGAATAAATATTTTTAAAGCACCCCCGTGATTTTAATTTCAGCAACAGCATGGGCCACCATGCGTTGTCGAAGGCGCCAGATATATCTAAGAAAATAGCCAGCACGTATTGAAATTTTGACCCTGTGACAAACTTTCTAACCGATATAACAGCGTCAGTTGTTGATTTACCCAACGTAAATCCAAGGTAAGGCCATCTGTCACCCTAGCAGGAGCAAACCGTGTTGGTGACGCGCTGTGGAGCGCTCGCGCCCTTAAATTTGTAGAATGGGAACACCGTGGTGCCCACACACTAAGGGTTCATCTACTGGCCGTAGATTTCCCAGGGGCCGTCGGGGTTCCAGGGCTTTCCTTCCTAGGGTTCACCTGGTTCCCCGGCTACTGGTACCCGAGTTGGCGTGCGGTTTTTGGTCGGTTTATGTCCGACATAACCACCGGTGGGTAGTATCCGAGGGGACTTCCGCACAGACAAAAAAAATGTTTGAAAAAAAAACCTACCCACAATAATCAAGAATGTTTTATCCTGTATCTGATCCTTAGCTTAGTTTCTTTATGTATTCACCATTTTCATATCTAAACAGTAATATAAATGCTGCATAGTGCTTTCATCTTGGATGAGCATAGATAAACAAGAAATATCTTGTTTAGGCTTTAGTATTTTTATTAAATTCATTAAAAGCACAGTATTCTATACAAGAACATGGCTTAGATTTCTATTAGAATACATAGGTTACTTAAAAAATTCAAATAATTTAAATTTCGAGTAATGATTATTACGGAAGTTTAGTTACGTTGTTTATTAAATAAATAAATGATTAAATAAAAAAACAAATGTGTTATGTAAATAACTTTTATATACTAGAGCGCACACCAATATTTTAAATTTCGAATAATGATTTTAACAAAACATTATTTTTAAATTTTAATAAAACTTATTTACGGTGGGAGAGCCATGCTTCAGAATGCCGGCTCGACCGGAGTGATACCACGGCCTCACAGAAAACCGGTGTTAAGCAATTCTTGAGTTGCCTTTCACTGAGGTTACCGGAGCCCAAATCCCCCCTCCCGCTGACTCGAGCGGGAGGGACTCCAAGGGCAGCAACGCACTTGTGACTTTTGAGGTGCAGGTGTCCATGGGTGGCGGTTGTTGCTTACCATCAGGTGACCCGTCTGCTCATTTGCCCCCTTATACCTTATATAAAAAAAAAACAATAAGTCATTGTTAATAAATTTTAACAAACTTTCAATGATTGGAACTTACTCGTATCTAAAAATATTCCAAATTTTGAAACTTAAACTTAAATTACCTAACAAATTAAAAATAGCATAAAACTATGATTGAATTAAAAACCAATATGTAATCTAATACATAATATTTATT